TGCTTACCCCTGTCCAGGTGTCCTCTCTGCAGGTGGATCATTTTGCTGGCTGCAGCACTGCAGGATGGTCCCCAGCAAATGGCTGGCAGAACCTCCACATGCACACTGCAGCTTATGGGCAAGGGGCTGGTGTGAGCACTTCCGTGCGAGGTGCTGAGCTCCTGCTGCTCCTGCAGGTCAGGGCTGTGTGTGATCACTCACGTTTCTCCCCCCCAGACATACATGGAGTTCTGGCCCACCCAGGGTGAAGCTGCCTACGGCCGTTTCCATGTCAACCTGATCTCAGAGGAGCCCGGAGCTGGCTTCACAGCCTGGAGACTTGCCCTCACCAATGGGCAGCAGGTGGGCTCTTTGCACAGAGATGGCAAAGTCCTCTGAGAACAGCCTTCACAAGACCTGGGAGGACCTGCTGGGCTCCAGAGTCAGCAGGCTTTGATTTGGGCTCAAAGTCACAGTGGGGGTGGCAGAGGCCACAAAGGTCAGAGGGGTCTGGTGGGCACTGGGCATTCACCCTGGGAGAGGGGTTAGTCCCAAGAGGGTGAGGCTGCAGGCAGAGGTATAAGGCAGAGGTACGTTTTGTACCTTTCTAGCTCAGAGGACGGCAGCCGTGGATAGAGTTTGTGCATCTCAGTGGTGGTTCATGGATAGGGACAGCTGTTACACAGGTAGCTGGGCGTAGGACTGGCATCAGTCTAAGCCACAGCTGGTGGTCCATCCATCTACTGGCCTCAGAGCACTCGACGGACAAGGGCAAAGACTGGGACTGGGCCAGCCCACTGTGGAGCTGCTCCCTTCATCCACTGTGCATGGCTGAACCAGGACTCACACATGCAGTCCCTCCCTTCCCTCCATGAAGCCCACAGGTTTGTTCTCTGCCCAACCCACTGTCTTTCTTCCCCACTAGCCCAAGAAGTCTGCACTGGACGTCCAGTTGTGGCAACTGAAGGACTGGCCCATGCAGCAGCGTCTTCCCCCGCACCCTTCCACCATCATCAGCCTGCTAGGGAAGGTGGAGACGCACCACCGGCAGAGCCGAGATGGTCATATCCTCGTCACATGCTGGTGAGTGATGTCTTTCGCAGGAGCAGCCGTGGCACAGAGCTGGCTCAGGCCAGGCCGCATCAGGGGACTTGGGTCACAGCAATGTCCTCAGCTAAGGTGAAGGGTGGGCACATGGCCGTGAATTTGGCTGTGTTCATGGAGGAAGGCTTCCCTGTGGAGGCCAGCTGGGTGCAGGATCTGCAGGCAAGATCATCCTGAGGGCCTGCATGTATAGTGGGACACCTCTGAGGCTCAGCTCTGCCAGGTGATCCCAGAACAAGTGACTCTCCCCTTGCTCTCCTCCACAGGGATGGTGCCAGCCGGACCGGGATCTTCTGTGCTGCTAGTTTACTGTGTGAGCAGATCCAAAGCGAGGGGGTGGTGGATGTATCCCAGGCTGTGAGGATGCTGAAGAGACGACGGAGACAGCTGATTAAAGATGTGGTAGGTTCTGTCTTCAAACCCAATCAGGGTGGCAACACCAGAGCAAGAGCCATAGCCTGGACTGTCCCAGCAACTGCCCTAGAACCTATGTGCTCAGATCATCCTGGGGGCAGCCGGGCTAGACAAAACCTCTGAAAACCCTGTTTTCTGCCACTGAGACATACCCCCTCACTCAGGGGCGGGTTCTGCAGAACCGGATGGTTCACCCGGCCTGCTTAGCGGGGGGCTGCACAGGTGGGTGCTCAGATGCCTGTCCTGCACCCACCTCACCACCCAGTCTGAGTGCTAGAGGCCTTCGTAGGTTGAGCACCGTGGGTGCGAGTGAGCAGCAGACACTTCATGCCATGGATGCTGGCTCTGCTTCTGAGATCAGCTGGCTCCATCCTTGGGGCAGCCTAGCTCTCACCTAGTGGAGCACATGCCTGTGATCCCTCAGCAGGGGAAGGTGGGCTCCAATGGGGAGGAGGAGAGTGGGCGACTGGCTTGCTCAGAAAGTTGTTGGAAACGCAGGCTGGCCTTTCACTGCAGGTGTTGTTGTACCAGGTTCTCAGTACAGGTTCTCTCTGTCCACAGGAGCAGTATGGGCTCTGCTATGAACTAGCCCTCAGTTACCTGAATTCATTTGAAACCTATGGGAATTTCAAGTAGGAGCATGGCCATAGCCCGTCTCTGGCCGGGACTTTGACTCTCTTGACAGCCCTCCATCAATAACAGTGTAAATCAGAGGAGACAAGAGCGATGTGCATAGCCCCAAGATGCTTTACTCCCCAGAAAAGCCATCCCAAGGGTCCTCTGCAGGTGGAGAGCACAGGCTGGACTGTCTCCAGGTTGCGGTCAGGGGTTGCAGCAGGAACTTGCCCTTTGCCCAGAGTTTGCAGAGGAACTGATCTGGAATCACAGCCTGAGTATGGAGACCAGAGCAAAAGCACCAGGACTTGACCTGTCCGTGCCACAGATGAAGAGCACCACCTGTCCCATGCAGGTTCTGTTGTCCCTTCAGGCATCCCCAGGGAAAGTGTGGTGGCTCCATCAACAGCCAAACAGTGTTTTGCCAGGGGAGCATCAAACTGCTGTGAGATCCACAGGGCTCTGGAGCACAGGCTGTCTGTCCTGCTTTGGGAGAAGCACGAAGCCCAAGGCCAACAAGAGCCAAGGGAGGGTCAATCCACAGTCCTGTAGGGCTAGTTTGGTCCTTCCCACCCCATAAAATGCCTTCTTGTAGCTCCGTATTCCTGATGCTGACCCAGGTGCCACAACCCTGCCAGCTTCAGAGAGGCTCCCTCACCACAGAATCACAGAATCACAGAATGGTAGGGGTTGGAAGGGACCTCTGTGGGTCATCTAGCCCAACCCCCCTGCCGAAGCAAGGGAGTTCGGGCGTAACTTCCTCTGCTTCGGTTTGTGCCCATTGCCCCTTGTCCTGTCACTGGGCACCACTGAAAAGAGCCTGGCCCATCCTCCTGACACCCACCCTTCAGATATTTGTAAGCATTTATTAGGTCCCCTCTCAGCTTTCTCTTCTTCAGGCTGAACAAGCCCAGCTCCCTCAGCCTCTCCTCGTAGGAGAGATGCTCCAGTCCCCTCACCATCCTCGTAGCCCTCTGCAGGACACTCTCCAGTAGCTCCTCATCTTTCTTGAAGTGGGGAGCCCAGAACTGGACCAGTACTCCAGATGGGGCCTCAGTAGGGCAGAGTAGAGGGGGAGGAGAACTTCCCTCAATCTGCTGGCCACACTCCTCCTAATGCATCCCAGGATCCCGTTAGGTTTCTTGGCAGCCAGGGCACACTGCTGGCTCATGGTCAACCTGCCGTCCACCAGGACACCAGCCTGTCTAGCTCCACCATATCAATCCCAGGTTATAGTGGCTCAACTCAGATATCCTGGATATGGTTCTGGCAGGGGCTGCTGCACTGTGGCAACTTGTTCTGCCTTTGCTGCCTGGGGGAAAGAGGCCTCAGAACTGGGACTGGCACTGTTCTGTGTCTCACCAATAAAGACCCTGTGCTGGCCATGGTGGTGGTGACCTCTGATCCTCACTTTTCTTCCGGGTGTGAGCTGGCGTGGGGGCTGCAAAGGAACTGAGAGCACACAGGTCCCTCAGTTCCGGCCACAGCATGGGCACAGAACACACTGCTGCCCAAGATATGCATTGAGGGAAATCACCATTCATTGATTCCCACCACACACCCCATCCAAAATCATGTGAGAGCGGCCCAGCATAGCCCTGGGGGTCGGGAAGGCTGTCAGGCACCACCTGGGCACAGGGAGTCATAGCACCCCTTCTCATGGCCCCCCTTCAACAAGGTGCCATCAGCTCCCCGCAGGGTGATGTGACCCCACAAGGACAATGAGGGGACTCAGGCAGGAGCAGCAGTGGGGCAGGCAGCCCCCTCCAAACCACCAGCCTTTATTGGTTGTCCAGACAGAGCAGGCAGAGTCATGACGGTAGCCCGGTCAGCCCCAGCAGAGCCCTGGGTTTGGCTGAGTATCAGTAGACAGAGTGGGGACAGAGGTGGGAAGCCAGGACATGACAAAAGCATGGACCATCCCTCAGCCTCAGCCTGTGTGAGTCAGGGACTGGGAAATCTTGTGTACAGTTTCTGCTTCCAGGAAAGCAAAAATGAAAGCAAAGTCTAAAAACAGGAACTACAGACAGTTGCATTCAAAGGCCTTAAAACAGCAGGTGAAAGCTGGGAGGTGAAGAGAGTGAGAAAAAAAAGCTCACAACCCTCCTTGGCCTCCTGTTTTCCTCTTGCTCTGCTGAATTGGATGTGACACCCAAAGCTGGTCACAGTCAAAGGAGAGCCAGGGGGGCCAGCAGCCATCAGCACAGAGCTGGGGTCGTCCTCCCCATCTTCTCCGCTCTCTCGCTGCTCTGAATGTCTTCTGTGGTCCTGGAGAGGGGCTGGAGTGACTGACCCCCAGCTTGCCCACCTTTACCTGTGGAGACCAACAGCACTGCGGGCAGAGGTTGCTGCGTGCCCTTGGCTGCTTGGCGAGCTCATACCTCCACAGCTGCCCACACACATGAGTGTCTGAGGCAGGCTGGAGCATGGGGCAGTGCCTGCTGCGGCCCAGTGCCTTCGTCCCACCCGTGCCCAAGCACCGGTGCCCAGGTGAGAGCAGCAGTCCCTCAACCTGACCCTCCTGAAACCCCTCCCAGAAGATCTCTCCCCTGAGGGGGGTGACACAGCCATGGGTCCCTCAAAGGGCTGAGCCATGAGCCACCCTTTGGCATGCAAGTCTTTGTTGGCCCCTTTCCCTGCTCCAGGCTGGGAGCACTGCCTGGAGCCACTCTCTGCTGCAGCGTGGGGCTGAGCAGGCAGAGCTGTCCTGAACATCCCCGGCACCATAGGGCTGGGGCAAAGGGGCAGACCTGTCGGTGAAGAGAGTGAGCAGATGTTTCTCCTGAGGGTCATGATGTCTGGGAGATCTCTGCTGTCCTCCCAGCTGCCACCCAGCCCTACGGCTCTTTCTGTGATGGTGGTCCAGGGAACTGCATTTTCCTACCTTTTCAGTTATCTTCCTTAGCCTTGCCGGGCATGGAATTCCTTTTCCTGGAAAAGCAAAGGGGAGTCATGAGTAAGAGACTGATGTTGCCCATGGCCCTGCTGACCCTGTCCCCTTCCTACTCACCTGGAAAGCACGAACCACAGGATCCCTGCAAACACGAGGAGCAGCACCAACAGCACAACCAGCCCAATCACAGTCCCACGCCACGAGCCTGGAGGCTGCCCTGCAACTAACACACAGCCAGGAGTGGGTGCTACCGCGCGGGCCGCTTTCTGGCAGTGGCCCCAAAGATGGCAAATGTGGTGTGCAAGTGTGTAGAAGGGTGTCTTGGCTTAGGTTTCTTCTGGGATGGAGGACAGCACCGTGAACGGCAAGCAAAAGGCTCCTACGCTCAGCCAGCTCCTCTCCAGGGGAAGCAGCAAGGCTGGGGAAAGGGATCATGCGGGAGAGACCCTCAGGCAGAGGGAGCGAGGAGCCCACTTACCAACAGAGAAGCTGTAGCAGATGCAGGTGAACTTCTCTGCCTGTTGGACAAGATGGAAGGGAGAGCTCAGGACCCTCCTGCCCCGCTGCCCACCCTGGGGGCAAAAGCCTCCCACCCACGGCACTGAACACCCCAGCTGTGGCCGAGGACAGCAGGGACACCGTCCTGCCAAGGCA